GGTTTGCTGAAATTTTAAGAATACTTTTAGGAGTAAAATATATAAATATTATATATCTAGTATTTACTCTGCAAAACAGATTAAAATGGTAACTTAAGAATGTTATATCTTGTTGATCAAGAATGTTGGGTAGGTGATTATTATTATCATGCAATTTTTGTGATTATTTCACTTTTGCTTTTTATATTAGTTGTTTTAGTTTGTAGTTAACTATTCATCGAATTAAGAAACAATAAGAAAAATACATTCTCATAAAGATAAGCTAATTCATATTCATAAATATTTGTTTATATAATATTTTCAATGATATCCTATTCATTAATCTAACTACCTAAATATTCTATTTGTGTAATAGTAATTTAAAATATTACAAGTTTCATCTTCTTTTACAGAATATATTACAAAAATCCTTTTTATAATTAAACTGTTTAGAAAATATGGGTATCAATAAGTGGAATAGTATTCCATACTAATTTAATGTAACTGATGACTTTTTTATTTAATCATGTGATCTTATAAAATACTATGTTAGGTTGGTTAATAACTTGTCCGATGATAATTATTATTTTATAAGGAAGACCAAGTCATTAAATTGATCTAATAAAAGTTAATTTAGCAAGATATCAATCAACGGAAATGATTGTAAAAGATTGTGAATACTTAGTAGAATTGTCAGATTTATATGAAAAAGATTAAAGTAAAGAAATTTAAGTACTGGGATTTTTAGAGATGCATGAATCAACCTGTTTATAATCAAATTGTGCAATTAAAATTAATAAAAATTTGTCTGTAAAATTTAAAGAGAATCCAAAGTATACTGATATAAGATTAATTCTTAAGGAACTTATAAATTAACTTTATTAAAATGGTCTAAATAAGTTTCCTTAAAGTATTGATCTCAAAATTCATTACAGTTATTTCCTTTATGATCATTTATAAGAGGGATAAAAAGCCTTAAGTGAATTAGAAAAAGCTGAGTAATTAAATCCAGATTTTGGATAGTAATTTTAGATTTATTAAATGAAGAAAACTTTAGAAGATTCATTCTAGAAATCTTCATTAGAAGTCAATACAATTTAATATACCATATCAAATGATCGAAATATTCAATTTCAATAAAATTAGCTTAAATAAAAGATTTAGGAATGCTCTTATCTAATGCTATAATTTTGGAGTTAGTTATTAGAGGAAATTCCTAATTTAACAACTTTATAAATTATTGGAAGAAAAGTATTAGGATCAATTCATTAAATCAGAAAATAAATTTCCATTATGTAAAAAGCTAATGCATTTAATTAATTTTCTAAAAAGTTCTTATACAAATTTAGTGAATATGTTTTTTATATAATTGATACAGTAAAGTTTGCTTCAATGAATATAAATTAATAAAATGATGAAGTTAATTTTTAAACTAAATTTTTGGATTAGAATCAATAATTAGGTTCTTAAGATTTAGGGTTATATTCCTAACCTGTTATAGTTTTGGAACTATTCAGCAATAATAATTAAATTTCCATTGTTAAAAATATCAATTAAGCTACTTGTTCTTTACTTGGATTTTCTAAGACTGATATAATAGGACATCCATTAGCCCAATTACTCTAAACTAAGTATATTGCATAATATTATAAGCTATTCAAAGCTACATCAATACGTTGTACAAAATTATTTTGCCTCAGATTCATAAGATTAATTATCTATCTTACCATAAAGATAATAATTCTTTTAAACTAAGTCTTAATATGTGATACTAACTAAGAGTTCTGGTTCTATAATTTAAACAGAAAAAGGAGTATTTCAATTTTTGAGATTGACAAAGGATATCAATTATCGCAATTTTGCTTACATTATTTTTAATGAAGATGGTAAAATTGAGAATATTTCATCTTCATGTATCTCAATTTTGAAATTAGATATCCGTAAACTTTAATTAAAATAATTAAATATTTAGCAACTATTTCCAAATTTATTATCTAATAAAGTAATATACCTAAGTAAAATGAGTAACATTATTTATGATTTTCAAAAATCAAAAGATAAAAGCATGATCTTTGAAGATTATGAAAAAGAGGAATTAAATTCAAATGGATTTATGGGATAATTGTTTGAGATATCAGAAAAAAATACATAAATCAAAAAAGGGGAAAAATAATAAACTTTTGGATATTATTTAACTGTAGAATAAATTGAGACTAAATAAGTTATCCCTTCTCCTATATTAAAAAGATATTAAACAACAAAAGAATTTACATATTCTCTTGAATAACGTGCTTTCATTTGTAATACTTTCAATTAAATATAGATGGAATTGCCACATCTTAATATGATTCTGTCAGAGGAGATAATGAACATTAAGAGGAATCTAAATAAAAAATATTTATTTAATCAAGATAGTAAAGTAGAAAACAGAACTCATTGACTTAAAATCGATTTCAAAAAGCTTATGGGTTTGATATTAAAACATTAAGATTGTTTAAAGGTGAAATTAAAGAGGTAATAGATACAAATGAAGAGGAGGAAGATCAAGATTATATTAGGGAAAATACAGAACATTCTAATTTAGAAATTATAATAAATAAGCAATAATCTACTAAAATCAATACTTAAAATGAATTAATTTAATACCTGTAATAAATATCATATCCTGCATTTTTGAGAAGATTAGTTCTTTTAAATAATATTTTAATACTTGTTTCATTTACTTTATCATGTATAATGTATTCAACTTTATATATTACTTTTTCAAAATTTTAAAATGCTATAGAACTTGCTGCTGCAAGTAATTAACGATTTTCTTCACTCTTAAAAATTCAGTCGAACCTTTAAGATCTTAGAGGTTTCAATTTAAATATTGAAGAATTGGAATTTTAAAATATAGGAGAAAATTTTATAAATTTAAATTTTTTAGAAATAAAAAATGAATTAAACTTTTTGCTTGAATCAAATAAACTTTTAACCTCCTCAGATTTAACAATTAACAAAAAATATTAAACATACATAGATCAATTTGAAGAACCATATATTTAAATGTTTTCGGTAGATAATAGTCATCAAAATTTTACTTATTCTTAAGCAGTATAATCATTAATTGCTAGAGCTATAACATTAAATAATAGCCATTTATCAAAATTTATAGATAGCAATGAAGATTTTCATTATTATTTGCATAATAGTTTTAATTCTATTGCAAAATATTAATATGTTTCATAAAACTATTACTTTTCAAATATTTACAGTTTATTGGATGATTTAGACACATTTGAAAATATTTTTTTTATTCTTTCATCCTCTTGTTTGTGTTTGATATTTATATTTTGTTAATTATTCGTTCGTTCTCATTAATCCCATATAAGGAATATCATTTCAGCTTTTTTAGAAATTAAAGAATAGTATTTAAAATAGATTGTTAATAAGATACAAAATTTTATATAGTTACTTCAAACAAACGATGAAGATGATGTACATATATATATATAATATATTTAGGTGGATTAATTTGAATTAGAATAGAATGAAAATTAAGAAGAGCATGAATTAGGAGAATTGACCAAAAATAGTAAAAAGAGAAAATCTTAATTTTCATCAGAGAGTGAAAATAAAATTAAAATTCAGATAATTATTGTTACACTTTTATTTTACTCTTACTTTTGTTATTTGTACTTTAGTTCTATAGTAAATAATATTAATATCATATTTTTAGACAATTATTTCATATACAAACTTACTTATTCCACTTGTTAATATTACATCTTATATTCCAACTTAATATCGTTTGATTGACAACTCTATTAAGGAAATGCTTTATGATGCAAATGCTATAATTATGAATCAATTAAATTCTGTTGATAAGATGAATTAAATGATTGATTAAATTTAAAATTTAGATGCTGAATTACATATTTTGAATTAATAAAATGAACATATTTTATCTACAGAGTATATTAAACTTTTCAATGAAATTTATATTTTAAACCCATGTGCAATTATTATTGAAAATGATTTATCTGTTACAAATACATCATGTTTGACATTTAATGATAATATTCTAGAGGATGGATTAGCAGTTGCTATTTCCAGTTTTTTTGAAAATGCATGTAAAATTATATAGGAATATTATTATTATGATCCAAATACTATATATTCAAATTTAACATTTAATCTTAGCTCAAATCATAAGTAAAACTACACTTATAACATTCTAAATACTAAAGAAAGCAACTAAAATAGAAAAATGCAAAAAGTATTTATCAGAATATGTCATTTATCATTAATTAAGGAGTTATTACATTAATTGAGTAATTACTTTTCCTTTTTGGCATTTTAAATGACTTTATTATTCATGATATTTTGTATAATTACAGTGTTTATATATTTTTTGATTTGGATACCTATATTAACCAACTTTTATTTTGAAGCATAAAAAAATTTAGAAACTTTAACTATCATTCCAGTTGAATATTTTAGCAAATGTGTTTAAATATAAGAACATATGTAACTTTTGAAGGAGCTCAATTAATGATAAATTAATAAATTTATATTTTTAATAAGGTAAAGATTTATTCTCAATTTTGTTATATTATATCTTTTTTGATACATATTTAAACTTATTCTCTTAAAGGATAATAAAATATAGAAATTATTTGTTAATTCGATTTCTTTATCAAATAATTGTTATTGAGAATCTTTTGTTATATTATTAAATTCAAAATTTTACAATTATTTAAAATGGTTAAATTTAATAATAATTATATTATGATTAAAAAAAATAATTTCATGTAATTAGAAACTTCCATAATTTTTAAATTCTACTTTAAGAAATGTAAGAGTGTAGCCATGGAGTATTACTAATATTGAATTATATAAACTAATATTATTTGAATCAAATTTAGAAAATTCTCAAGTGCAGAAATATATGATACCTATATCATTGCAAATTTATATAAGTAGGATTCTTAAATGGAAAGTAACATTATATGATTATTTCTTTCAAGTAATAATAAATGAGTTTTACGATTCAACATTTTGATTAAAAAAATTATGGAATAATAAATTGCTAAAATTAAATAAGTTATTAAGTTATTTGTATATTTGGCATTCATTCTTCAAATGCGGAACTCATTGTTATATAGCTCTTGAAATTACAAATTAAATTGATATATCAAAAAAATATGATAAGATGTATGATATTTATGCCAAAGCATAATCTTGATTATATTGTAAATAAGCATTAATATCATAAGTCTAACTGGGAAAGACCACTTTCCTGGGGTCAAAATCAATTTATTCTTGATACTGAATAATCAATAAAAATTGATCTAACTCTTTTATAAATAAAAAAAAATGACCAAAGTGTCATTTAGTTAAATCAAAAAATGCCTGGAAAAAGATCCTAAAAAAAGAGTTTATACTAGTACTTGGTTAAAAGGAGAAGTTATTTAAAGTTCCCTCTAAAAAAGGAATAGGAATTTAAATTTAGTAAACCACTGTCTAAAAAATAATTTTCTCCTTTGCTTGAAAAAATTTTAGACTATATAATTTTAAATTATCTAAACAATCGCACAAATAATAAGTTGAAAAGGGATAGTTAGTTACTTAAGATTTCACATTTAGAAGATCGAAATAGAATTAGAATGTTGATTTAACTGGAAGTTCAATAGAAAAAAAAATAAAACAAAATTTATAAAGCAGATAATGATATAGGAGCAAAAAGAGAAATGAATTTATATCAATATTGAATATTATAAAGAATAGAGCAATAGATTTTTAAGAATTCTTATTCAGCTCTATGATGTTTAGTTTCAATATAAATAAAATAACTCTATAAAAAACATCTATTTCATTATGAAATGGTTAAGGTGACGCTTCCTTTTAACCTACGATTTAAAATTGGATTTCTATAGGCATTATAAGGAACATCTATAGAAATTCTCTTGTTCAAAATTTCTTCTGGGTAAGGAGAAGTTCTCATTTTGTTTACTATTTAATCAAGTTCCCCTTCTTTTTATTAATTTTCTTTCCTTTATTTCATGTTACACATACAAAGTCCCATTTAAAACTTTATTTTACTATTTTTAATTGAATGCAAACGAAATAAATATTTGAAAGAAATCAAGCCAAATAAACGCAGTATTCTTTAATTTCAATAGAAGTTAATTTTATTAACTATATTAATTATAAATAATCAATAATAATATAATAAGAATATTAAAATAAAGCCTATTTCTTATTTAAATTTAAATTAAACAACTAAATTTGATAAATTAAAGGGATAAGAAGTCAATACTGAATTATTAAATTAAGTATTTTCAATTTTATAATGTTTATACAATATTTTATTAATTATTTTCTGTTATGTGTATATATATATGCAAATAGTACACAACCACATTATACTAATAGTAAGATAATTAAGGCACGTCCATATTTTTAGAATAGATTACTCTCCTTCCTCTATTCAAATTTTGATTTATTGTATGGATAATATTTGAAAAAGAATATTAAGTCTCCATCATCTTTATCTGATATCTAGGATTTGTTTGCTTTAGTGATTAATACAAAAATTAATATCCTTCATTATTCCTAACATTTTTATTGCAAAAGTATATAATTATTTTATATGATTAAGTCAATTATATAAGATAGACTAAAATTCATTAATACTCAAAGAGTTAATACTAAATATATTACTTGAAATTTATGAAATTATGTTCAACTTATAAGGTAAATAAATCAATTCAAAGTAAAATGATTCTATCATTCTGGTTGAGTCTATGGGTTTGGTGAAGCAGGCAACTCTTTCAATCTTCTACTGAGAATTGGATTTTTAAAAGGATTTAAATGAGACGATTAGCTTGCTCTTTGCTTCAAGATTACACTACAGTCTTAAGATAGTCTAACTTGAGCTACTACTTATTACAATTCTCCATCATGTCTTTATTTTTTCTATTTCTAAGCAGCACAAGTTCCCATATAAAATATTTATATTAAAGAAGATTTTCAAACCTTTTTATATATTTGTATTAAATTTTACAATTTAGTCATTCAGACTTAGAAGTTTCATGGTATAAAAAATTCAATAGTTTTGTAAATAATTATCAATTTTCAAGTGGATAAAACCACAAGAGGAATACGTATCCCCAAATTTTTTACTTTTTCATCTCATTTTGAAATTCAATTTAAGAATATTTAAATATGTAACATCTCTAGCTTGAGTAAAATTATGTTCCATTTATCCAAAAATCAAATTATGCAATGTGTGTAAATTTTTATTAATTTAGAATCTTCAATTTTGAAGGATTCTTTAAAGACATATCAAGGTGACTAAAATTGCCTAGAGCTTATCAAGGTGTTAATTGAAAATATTCCAAAGCGAAGAGACAATAAAGAATGGATTTACCAGTTATAAGAATTTCTGTCTTAGTTTGGAAATTAATGTATTACAAAAATCAAAAATGTCAAAAAAGGAAGATATTTAATAAAGCTCTAATTATTTGCAATAAGGAGAATGAGGAACCTTAAAATAGTCACATAATTTAAATAAGAGATTAAATCAATAAGAATTAATTGCTAAAAAATCGTAGAGCCTGTAAGGTAAAAAGCCTCTCCTTCTTGAAAAAACATAAGATAATTTTAAGAGATTAAAAAAGTATTAAAGCTTTTTAATCTATATGAATCATACTCATTCTATTACATGCATCAATATTTTTATCTCTATCTTCAAGTGTCATCTCATATATCAAATACAGGTCAAAGAAAAAAATCTTTTTTGAGGTAACTATATGATTTGAATAATTTATGCAGAATGATTTTATTAATAAAAAATTAACTTATTAGAATATGATAAAAAGTTGATGACCCAAAATTAAGAACTTATAAGCCCAAAAATAAACAGATATTTAATCATTAGCACTTGCTATATTATCCAATAAAATTATCTTATAACTGCTAAATGATTATTATTACAAAAAATTTGGAAATTTAATTTTTTTTATCTAAAGCAATATCATGATGAAGACATAATTCCTTATGTAAATCCAGAAAGTAAGAACTAGAAAGATACTCATCAATGCTAATTTAATAACTTATACTTTGCCTTCTTGAGCTGGATTAATTGATTTTAGAAATATTTTTTTTCCTGAATACAAAAATTTTGTTTAAAGTCTCAATATTTTAGATATATATTTAATTAATAATCAGTTGATTATTCCTTTAGAATAAAGATCATGGATAATCTTTTAATTCTGAATTAAGTTTTTAAGAATTGATAGTCAAAAATCTTTAACAAATTAAGATAATAGTCAAATAAGATGATGGATAGAAAAACTACTTTACTATTAACAATTAGTATATCGAATATTTATTTGCTAAAAAATACATTTAATATAAAAAATTATTTGATCTTTCTTGATATTATTTATTTATAAGTATCATGATCATAATGGATTGGTCATTTAATTTTTTACCGATTAAACATCTTTCAAAACTGGACACTTAAGGTTAGAGCTTGTTTAAAAAAATGGTTGATTGCCATTTAAAAAATACGCTGCAAATAATGCACTGCTTCCACTTACAATTGCTAATATAGGCTTCATTATTTATTTTAATAATTAAAAGTATTTAATCAAAATAATAGAAGAAACTAAATGTCTTAATCAAAAAATGACAATTTAAGTATATTTAATCCAAAAGAATTACTGTCTTTTTGGACATTGATTGATTTTATACTATTGAGTGATCATCTATATTTTTGAACTAACTTATATTATATGTGTGCTTCCTTTGGAAGGATCTAAGTGAAATCAGAAAGCTCAGATTTACTATTTGTTGTTCTAAACATAAACAAGAATAATTTATTTTATTAATAAATTATAATTATAGATGAGGAAATAAAATATGGAAAAAGTTAAGAAGTATCGTAATTATTAATTTTTGCAAATGAAACACATTAAAATCTAAAGAACTTAATTGATATAAGTAAATTATTAAATCTCTATGGTATTATCGAAAATTAATTAAATTGCACATCCTTTCTATTGATATCAAAACTAAATATTACACAAATCTATATAAAAATTCTTTTTCCAATTGACAAAATATAGTAAATTTGTAGTTTATTCCACTTGAAAATCTTTTAATTCTTTTCTTTACTACATATTTTTATATTATTTACTTTATTGATTCATTAATAAAATTCTTTAATTTTATGGAAGATTTTAGCGATGATGATATAAATTACTTTATTGCGAAGTTAAGCGAAGACTGTTCAAAGTCCTTCTTTGATAACTATTAAAATGATTCCTAACTTTTAGGGATAAAATGTATCTATTTACATAGATCTTATAGTGGATGAATAGTTGATAAAATAAATTAGAGATAAAGAAGAGATGATGAAAACAATGTTTGATTTATTAAGTATTTGGCCATAACAAATTTAGACTATATTTTTAACAAATAACAAAAAATTCTTGCTGATTACGAAGATCTTAAAATTTAGTGTGAACACAGCCTTTTGGTTTAGAAATAAGAAATATAATAAACTTAATATCAAATAGAACAATTATAAGTAAATTAATATCTAAATAATAGACTTAAAATGCAGAAAATTAAGAAAAAAATTAGTAATTTCTTGACTAGATAGAAGAATTAGAAAATCAGCTATCGCAAAAGAAATCTGAAATTTTTTAAATGAAATAAAATGAAGGAAGAATAAGTTAAAATCATTAAGTAATTAATACTTTTTTATTTAAAAAGGCACATGAAATAAAATCTCAAGAACAAAAAGAGTAATTATAAAGTCTCCAAACCAAAGTATAACAACTTGAAGAAATTAACAGCAAGTTTAAAAGCGAAGCTATAGCATCGTTCAATTTATTGAGATAGTATGAAATGAAATAAAAAGATTATGAAGATAAAATAGAAATTTTAGAATTATAGTTAAAAAGTAGTCTATTTATTAAACTTAGATAATTAGAGAGAAAAAGATAAATTGTCTAAATAGTATGAGGAATTATTCAAGAAATAATAATCAGAAATTATGACATCAACATAAATTAGTATTAATAACAACTTTATTCATAATTCTCCTCAAAAATCAACTCGAAAGAATAGTAATTATTCTAGCAATAATAACAATCATGAAACCATATAAAAATTAAGACGACAAAGTGGTTTTTTGAATTAACCAAAATTAGAATAAATCTAAAAATAAATAAATAATATCCCTGAATCGGAAAGCGAATCTGAAAATGAATTAACTAGTGGAAAAACATTGAAATAGGAAAAGAATGAAAAAAAAAACATTTAAAAAGAGTTGAATAATTTAAAAGTCAAAATTGAAGAATTAGAGAAATAAAAGGGTGAAATGGAAAAAGAATTGACTTAAAATAAAGAGATGATCTCTAATTAAGATACTAAAATTAGATAATTAGAAACAAATTAAAAGAAGATGAATCTAAAATCTACCTAATTAGAAAAAAAAGTTACTAATTTAACAGAAGGTATATTTTAAAAGTTATTTATAGAAAAAAATGCTTTAGAAGAAACTTATAAGCAAGAAAAATCATAAGAATAAGATCAATTAAAGAAACAAAGTGAAGATTTTATGAATAAGATAAAATTTTTATAAAATGAGAATTAATAATATGCATCACAATTAAAAGAACTAAACGAATATAAAAATAAATATCATGAACTGTGTTTAAGTAATCGCATATTATAAATAGATTTTTACAGAAAATCTGAAAGAGGAAGACGAAATGGAAGCATTTCTAAGAACACATGAATCTGCAGCAACTGCACATAAATAAAGTAATAAATATAAAAAAAATTAGTGTAAAAGTAATAAGAAAAATAACTTTATCAAATAAACTTAAATTAGATTCTAAATATTTCTGATGCTGATTTGATTTTCACTAGGGCAAGAAGTAATGCAAGCGTCTTTAAAAAGAAGGATATACCTATTGAGTAAACAGAAATATTTAAAAAAAAGTTAAAAGAATAGTTAGATCAAAGCCTAAAAAATGTTCTTATGTCAGAATAAAATAATTCAGATATATTATAAAAGACATTACTTTAAGTAAATCAATATGAATTATAATTGAAAAATATGTAAGAGGAGAATCAAAAATTAAAATTTGAAATCGATGAATAAAAAAAAAAAATAGATCTCTTAAATTTTAAAAATAAAGAGCTTGAAATTTAAAATGACAAAGATAAACTTGAAATGATTGAACATTCAAAATTATTGGACTAATCCAAAGTAAAGTTGTATAAAAGTGAATAATAATTAAATCTATTGAATGAAAAATTAAAAGGCTTATAAGAAATAGTGGATTAATAAGAAAAGGATATAAGTAATCTCAATGAAAAAATTATTCAATAAAGTAAATTAATGGATGATTAAGCTAAAATATCTAAATAAGAAATAGATAGATTAAATGATAGAAACGATAATAAATAATTAAAATTAGATCAAGCTTTGATAGAAATTTAACACCTAACAACAGATAATAAAATGGCCAAAATTAAGAGCGATACTGATATCAAAAATTTAACCGAAAAAAATACAAAATTGTAAAATTAACTTGATTTGATTGTAAAGTAAAAAGAATAATAGGAGTAAGAGTTTAATAGTATTAACGATATAAATTCTAAAATGGAATAAACCTTGTAGGCTATAATGAAAAATTATTCTGATATAGAAATTAAATGTGCAAATTTAGAGAGAGAAAAACAATAATTAGAATAATAAAACTAAGAAATAAATGAAAAATTAAAAAAAATAATTTAAAAAAAGAAAATATTAAAAGAACTTAATGTTGCAAAAGATTAAAACTATATTAAAATTAAAACTGAATTAGAAATAGAAACAGAAAAATGTTCTAATTAATAAAATAAAATTAACAGTCTTAAAGATGATTTAGAAAATCTTAAATAAGAAAATTTAATAATGTACAATAATATTGAATAAGATAGAAACTAAAAAATAGAAGAAAGCAACTAGCTGAAAACTGTAATTACTGAGTTAGAAATGAATAAGACTGAGTTGAATCGATAAAAAGAATAACTAGATAAAGAGATTGAAGAAATAAAGTTACAATTTACTAATTAGAATGAAGGGAATTAACAAAAAATACATTTTCTAGAAGAAGAAACATAAAAAAAAGATAAAGAAAGTGAAAAGTTGAGACTTGAGTTAGAAGTGATAAAAAAAGAAAAAGAGCATTAAGTTGCATCTCTCAAAGAAGAGCTCTCAGAAAGTGAGAAAAAGCTTTTGCATATTTAAAATGAATTGTAATCTCTTTAAGAATAATTCAAACAACTTTAACTTTCAATGAATGCTTCTCAATCAGAAGCTCACAATTCATATCAAGAGTTACAATTAAAATACAATAGTATTGAATAAGATAGAAACTAAAAAATAGAAGAAAGCAACTAGCTGAAAACTGTAATTACTGAGTTAGAAATGAATAAGACTGAGTTGAATCGATAAAAAGAATAACTAGATAAAGAGATTGAAGAAATAAAGTTACAATTTACTAATTAGAATGAAGGGAATTAACAAAAAATACATTTTCTAGAAGAAGAAACATAAAAAAAAGATAAAGAAAGTGAAAAGTTGAGACTTGAGTTAGAAGTGATAAAAAAAGAAAAAGAGCATTAAGTTGCATCTCTCAAAGAAGAGCTCTCAGAAAGTGAGAAAAAGCTTTTGCATATTTAAAATGAATTGTAATCTCTTTAAGAATAATTCAAACAACTTTAACTTTCAATGAATGCTTCTCAATCAGAAGCTCACAATTCATATCAAGAGTTACAATTAAAATACAATAGTATTGAATAAGATAGAAACTAAAAAATAGAAGAAAGCAACTAGCTGAAAACTGTAATTACTGAGTTAGAAATGAATAAGACTGAGTTGAATCGATAAAAAGAATAACTAGATAAAGAGATTGAAGAAATAAAGTTACAATTTACTAATTAGAATGAAGGGAATTAACAAAAAATACATTTTCTAGAAGAAGAAACATAAAAAAAAGATAAAGAAAGTGAAAAGTTGAGACTTGAGTTAGAAGTGATAAAAAAAGAAAAAGAGCATTAAGTTGCATCTCTCAAAGAAGAGCTCTCAGAAAGTGAGAAAAAGCTTTTGCATATTTAAAATGAATTGTAATCTCTTTAAGAATAATTCAAACAACTTTAACTTTCAATGAATGCTTCTCAATCAGAAGCTCACAATTCATATCAAGAGTTACAATTAAAATACAATAGTATTGAATAAGATAGAAACTAAAAAATAGAAGAAAGCAACTAGCTGAAAACTGTAATTACTGAGTTAGAAATGAATAAGACTGAGTTGAATCGATAAAAAGAATAACTAGATAAAGAGATTGAAGAAATAAAGTTACAATTTACTAATTAGAATGAAGGGAATTAACAAAAAATACATTTTCTAGAAGAAGAAACATAAAAAAAAGATAAAGAAAGTGAAAAGTTGAGACTTGAGTTAGAAGTGATAAAAAAAGAAAAAGAGCATTAAGTTGCATCTCTCAAAGAAGAGCTCTCAGAAAGTGAGAAAAAGCTTTTGCATATTTAAAATGAATTGTAATCTCTTTAAGAATAATTCAAACAACTTTAACTTTCAATGAATGCTTCTCAATCAGAAGCTCACAATTCATATCAAGAGTTACAATTAAAATACAATAGTATTGAATAAGATAGAAACTAAAAAATAGAAGAAAGCAACTAGCTGAAAACTGTAATTACTGAGTTAGAAATGAATAAGACTGAGTTGAATCGATAAAAAGAATAACTAGATAAAGAGATTGAAGAAATAAAGTTACAATTTACTAATTAGAATGAAGGGAATTAACAAAAAATACATTTTCTAGAAGAAGAAACATAAAAAAAAGATAAAGAAAGTGAAAAGTTGAGACTTGAGTTAGAAGTGATAAAAAAAGAAAAAGAGCATTAAGTTGCATCTCTCAAAGAAGAGCTCTCAGAAAGTGAGAAAAAGCTTTTGCATATTTAAAATGAATTGTAATCTCTTTAAGAATAATTCAAACAACTTTAACTTTCAATGAATGCTTCTCAATCAGAAGCTCACAATTCATATCAAGAGTTACAATTAAAATACAATAGTATTGAATAAGATAGAAACTAAAAAATAGAAGAAAGCAACTAGCTGAAAACTGTAATTACTGAGTTAGAAATGAATAAGACTGAGTTGAATCGATAAAAAGAATAACTAGATAAAGAGATTGAAGAAATAAAGTTACAATTTACTAATTAGAATGAAGGGAATTAACAAAAAATACATTTTCTAGAAGAAGAAACATAAAAAAAAGATAAAGAAAGTGAAAAGTTGAGACTTGAGTTAGAAGTGATAAAAAAAGAAAAAGAGCATTAAGTTGCATCTCTCAAAGAAGAGCTCTCAGAAAGTGAGAAAAAGCTTTTGCATATTTAAAATGAATTGTAATCTCTTTAAGAATAATTCAAACAACTTTAACTTTCAATGAATGCTTCTCAATCAGAAGCTCACAATTCATATCAAGAGTTACAATTAAAATACAATAGTATTGAATAAGATAGAAACTAAAAAATAGAAGAAAGCAACTAGCTGAAAACTGTAATTACTGAGTTAGAAATGAATAAGACTGAGTTGAATCGATAAAAAGAATAACTAGATAAAGAGATTGAAGAAATAAAGTTACAATTTACTAATTAGAATGAAGGGAATTAACAAAAAATACATTTTCTAGAAGAAGAAACATAAAAAAAAGATAAAGAAAGTGAAAAGTTGAGACTTGAGTTAGAAGTGATAAAAAAAGAAAAAGAGCATTAAGTTGCATCTCTCAAAGAAGAGCTCTCAGAAAGTGAGAAAAAGCTTTTGCATATTTAAAATGAATTGTAATCTCTTTAAGAATAATTCAAACAACTTTAACTTTCAATGAATGCTTCTCAATCAGAAGCTCACATTTTATATCAATAACTGCTAAAAGAATAACATACTAAAGAAACAATTCATTAAAATGAGCTTAATTAATTAAATCAATAAATTATTGAGTTTAATCTCAAAATTCAGGGATACTAAACCGAAGTTTAAACACTCAATTCTAATATATAGTAACTAACAATCAGTAACAATTCGTAAAATCATTAGTTTACTTAATATTACATATAAGACCAATTATAAATACTAGTATTAGAATCAATCATACACAATATATCTTTGGAAGCAAATGCTTATAAATAAAAATCTGAAATATTATTAAAAGAAAGTTAATAAAAAATTATAGAAGTGAATTTAAATTTACAATAATAATTAACGAATTGTTAAAACTTTTAATAATTAAACAATGAGATTGATCAAGAGTTAAAAAGAATTAAAAAAATTTCATAAGAAGATATAACTATGATTTAATAATTGACTCATTAACTTACTCTAAAAGATTAATAAATAAATTAAATCTAAATCTAATATTAATAATTTGAATAATAGCAAAACAAAAGTTTATAAGATTTAGAAGATTTGAAGATTTTGTTTGAGTAAATACAGAAAGAAAAACTTCAACTTGAAATTCATTTAGCAGAATAATATTAGCTTGTTAAGGAAGCTCATACTTAATAAGATTTGTATTCTTAGGAATTAACAGAAAGCAAATTAGAAGTTTAAAGATTAAATGATTAAATTTCATAAATTTTTGAAAAAGACAAAAATTAAAGTGTAGAAACCTAAAACTTGAAATAATTAATTGATTAATTGTCTGAAGAGAAGCAATATCTTTAAGAATTAACAAAGACTTTTGAAGAGACTATTTAAAGAAAAGACGAAGAAATAGATGAGATAAATAAGAATCTTGAAGAATTAAAATAATCTTTAACTTTGAAAGTTTATGAAATAGAATAGCTAGAATAAGATTTTAAATAAGCAAAAGAGGATCTTATTTTGAATCAGCAAAAACTTTTGGATGAATAAAATTTTAGGGCTACACAAGAAACTCAATTTAAAATATAACTTGAAAATTATATAAAATCACAACAAAAAAATTCTGATGTCTTAGATATTTCAGAAAATAAGATTGAGTTACTTGAATAACTGTAAGGACAAAAAATAGAATTTGATGTCAATATTTAAACATAAAATGAAAAATTAAGAATATATGAGTTATAGGTTTTAGAATTGAGAAATGAGTAATTCAAATACTTAGAAAAAATAAACGAATTGTCAGAAATAATTAATAGTGAAAGTGTATTTAGAGAAATGCAAAAGTATAAAATTTAAATATTGTTAGAAATTTTATTTAGGAAATTTTAGTGCATCTAATAAAGCAATCTGATGGATTGAAAAAGATTAATCAGTAAGAAACAGAGAATTTAATCTAAGATGATTATGATGACCTAGATAAATTAAAGTAATTTATTTTAATATTTTTATAGAACTAGTACAATGATGTAAATAAATATTCTTAATCGTTAAATAGAATTAACAATTAATAATTTTAAAGAAGTTTAAATGAAAATTTTATCATCTAATGAGTAAATTAATTAATTGGAATAATCATTAAAAGAAAGTTAGGAAAATTAAACTAATAATAAATTATTAATAGAAAGCCTAATATTAAATATTTCAGGCTTAAATGAAAAAATTGAAGGATATTAAAAATCTTCTTCGGTTAATTTACATGAAATTACAAAATAGCAAGAATAAGAAATGGAATTGTTGAAAAAGGATTACTAAAATAAAATTAATCGAATTTAAGAAGCATTAAATAGAAGAGAATAAGATTTTAATGCTTTGAAGTATTTTTTTAATTTATGATCATAGTGATTAGTATAATTTGATGCTCTAAGATTAAATTAATAAAACTGAAGAATTGAATAATTTGAGGAAGAAATATGATGATTTTATGAACGATATAGACAAAATGACACCAACTAGATCTCCTTCAAATTCTATCTCCTAAAAACCTAATCAAATAGATTAGTATTAATAATATTTTATACTTGTATTTAAATATATTATGTAGACTGCTCAAGCTGTTGCTCTAAGTAGTGACGATCCCATGGCTGCTGCAGAAATTAAATTAAAAAACTTCTATTAAGAAGTAAAAAATCGCAATTTACCTTTTCATCAAGTAATTTTCTATTTATTATTTTAGTGGCATATTTGGCTATAATTAAAACTTAAAGAAGAACTCTCTAAGAATAGAAAACGGTGAATGCTAATAAATAATAAATTTATGTTTATTTTAATTGATCATCTTTATAAGAATATCTTCAAAATTTAATTTGATCATAAATTAAAAAAGCCTATAATTTTAGTTTTTTAGAAAAATTAACATTATTTCTAAAATGTTTAACTGATAATAGAGATAAAATTTATCATTAAATAGATTTCTCAACTAATTCAAACTAATCAATAAATCGAATGAATAAATATTAAGAATTAATATAGCTTTAAGATATTTATTGAAAAAATAAAATATTTAGAAATAATTTTTATTGCTAATTAATTATGTCTGCTTCTAAGATCTTTTATTCACCTTCACGTTCTAACGTTTCAAATGTGTAAGCTTATGGAGGAGATAGAGCTTTGTCACCTAGCAGAGCCAAAATCTCTTAATTATCAGAAAAATTATCTAATTTATAACACTCAATTGATGAAGATTAGGCTGTAACAATATATTGCTAATACTAAATAGTTTAAAAAAGAAACATTTGAAAGTAAGGTTAAGGTATTAGAAGATAAGGCTACAAAATAAGCATAGGCAGATGACTCAAAGTTTAAGTTATTAAAGGAGTAGCTTTAAAAAGTTGAAGAGGGGGCTTAGAATGAGAAAATAATTAGAGAGGTAATTACTATTTATTAGAATAGGCTGGTGATGAAAAATTAAGATCTAAAGATTTAAAGGGTTTAGAAGGTTTTTTAAACAGAGAATTATAATAAGAAAAAGTAAACAGGAAGGATTTTGAGGGAAAAATTATCAAGAACACTGATGATAAAGTTTACAGTTTAAGATTGGATTTGGCTAGATAAAAAAAATATCGAGAAGAAACAGAGGAGAAAAACGCTTAAGAAATAGGAGATCGAGTTTTATAATTATAAGAGGAAGTAGAAGAAGAGAGAAGATAACGGTAATTTTCCATATTTACTTTAATAGTGAATAATAAAATTAGAACACTATTAAACGATTAGGTGATTCCATTCTCAAATTATAAGAAATTTTAACTACTGAAAAGAAATAAAGGGAACAGGCCTAAAGTTAAATGTTCAGAATGTTAGATGAAATGAATCACTATTTAAATAGCGAATTGTCAAGTGAGAAAAATGAAAGAGAAGCAACTGAAGAAAGTCTCATCAACTTAATTGATTAAACATGCAACAGAGTAGAGAATTCATTAAGAAAATGAATAATATTATAGATTTATTTTTATATTATTCTAATAGATTAGTGATTATGTTACATAAGACTCCTTTTTAAGGTTTAATTTTAGAATAAATATTCGGTTTCTTCAATTTTATTTATATAAAAGAAGCTGAATTTTTTAATAAGTTCAAAATTAAGGGATATTAAAATTTATTTGAGAAAAAGAATTGGAACTAAATATATTACTAGAAGATTCTAATAAAATTAATTATTCTTGTAATAACTAATTTCATTCCTTTTTGTTTGTATATTTCAATAATGGGTTATCTTATTATTACATTTATTGGGGGATTGTTCTAATTAATGTAAAATAATGATCTTTACTATTTAAAGCGAGAAGGTTTAATCATAGGTGAAGCTTGAAAAGAAGTTTATTATTGAGTTTATTGAAGCCCAATATTTGGGATAGAATCAACACTATCAGTTTTTCCAGTAAATAGAGGTGAGTTCATTTGTAAAGAATTAGAAGAATCAATGTTTTTTTATTATTTTAGTTGCTTTGTTGCCAATACTCCAGGAGAAGATTATGGAGAGTTAATTAATTAATTCTTTCTGAAGGCATCGAATTTTACGGATCTTTGATAGAGAAAACAAATACTCCTCATTTAATGCATTCATTCTTGAACATAAATCATTTTCTTCACCTTCTTCAATAAAATCATTCTAATTATCTTCAAGCATAATTTAATTAATTTCTGAGAGAAATGAATGTTACAAACATTAATTTGCTTTTATTCTTTTTTATGGGTCCTTTTCAAGCATTTTTCTCAAAAGATCAATAGCAGTATTAGGAGCATTTTATAATTGCTTTATTGAAAAATCAACATTAGCTTCTCTATTTTGTTTAACAACTGTTGCATAACTTTTACCTGGAAATGGTGGTTTACCAGTTAATAATAAGTAAAATACAAGACCTAGACTATAAATATCACAAACTGAACTATAGTGACCTTTCATATCTTTCATATTAATGACTTCAGGGGCAACATAGCCTGGTGTTCCACATCTGCAATATAAATAAACTGGTTCATTTACGTGTGTAGCTAAACCGAAATCTGCCACTACAACTGAATCCATTTTTCTATTATTATTTTTTTTGATAAATTAAATACTTTGATTATTTAAATAAAATATTTTCTAATTTCAAATCTCTATGCATAATTTCTTTCTAATGCATATGACACAATCCTTATAGGATTCCCACTAATATCTATTGTATTTATTTTGTTGAAAGAATGACTTTTTCCTTGATGAGATCATAGAGTGAACCCCCTTACAATAATTCTAATCCCACATATAATGAGTTATTTGTTTCATATATTTCATACATTCTCATAAGGTGATGATGATTTAGTTTTCTCATGATTGATAATTCATTTACAATAGCCTATTTACCATTTTCTTCAGCATAAGCAGCTTACTTAGAAAAAGCTTTGATTGCCATTTACACCCCATCTTCAATTCTTTCTGCCAAATACACCTATAAATTTAATTATAATAGAGTACAGATGCAAAATTACCCTTTCCAATCTTTTTGAACACTCTAAAAAGTGAATGAAATTGCCATTAATTGATTCTTGATTAGAAAAATTCTCTCCATTAAATTATTACTTTTTCGTTTCCTTACAAATTGTAACTAGGATGTTCTGCTTGACCGAAATCCCTCATCAAGTTCATACCAATAATTTGACCAAGAGTATCATCATCTTCATCTTTTTTTTGAACAGGTGTTCTAATGATTTCAAATTTAGTTTCAAAATCTAGTTTGAGATATTTACAAGGAGGTTAATCTGGCTTCTGGTTTAATTGATAAATACTGATATACTTTTGCAAGTAGAATGTATTGATCATAACCATATAAGATTCTTGTTTTGTTTTTTTTCAATTTAACAAATTCAGATTTTAAGATGGGCTTGTCATTTCTCTATTTTATTTCATTAGGAATTTGGATCCAAAGTTTTTAATTCATGATAATAATATTAATTTATAACCAGTTTAATCATACTTTTTAAAACAAGATCATTTATATCAATTGTTCAATTTCCAATCCTCCACCTTCACCATTATTTACAATTTTAATTGAATTCTCTCCATTTTTAATAGTTCCTCCTCCTGCCTCTATTAACTAAACAATTTCTTCATTTTTAAGATTAGATTTCAAATCATGGCTTAAATTAAACTATTTATTTAGAAAAATTGATTATGAAAGTGATGTTTCTATAGAATTTAAGATACTTAAATTATTTGTTTTCAAAACATAAAGATAGGGATTTTAAATTTACATTGTGGAAAGACAATCTTTAATCCATTAAGAATTAACTATCATTTTCCCTTCATTAATTGCTAAAAGGAGATTGAAAGTTCTCTTGAATGTTTCCATAACCAAAATGTTATATTATTCAATATCAACATAAATGCCCATTTTTAATAATTTTAACAGATCATCATTACAAACTGAAAAATTAGAAAATTTGATTCTGTATTCTCTCCATTCATTTATTTAATCTAATTATGAATAATTATTAATACATAATTTTAAACTAGTAAATAATGTTTAGGTTAGCCTTTTGATTTCTATGAATTTGTTATAGGTTTTTCATTTTATTCAATTTAAGTCTATTTATTGATTGGCGGTTCGAGAATAGTTAAATTTGGTTTGTTTTGTTTGATGAGATTGATTTTGATGATTTTTGGTCTTGCATATTCAAAAGTTAATGTTTGCTCTTAGACAATGATTTGTTTTTGACCAGTTGTAAGATCTAATTCATATTCCTTATCTATCCTCAATAATTGAGCATCTCCTTGGCCATTAATTCTATGAATATTTATAATTGGCTAAATCCATAAAATATTTGAATCATAGTTTAATTTGAAACATACAGGCAAAGGAACTTGAATGTTACATTATTCTGTATTGCCAATAACAGATATCCCAGGTTTAACTTTATATTTTTTATCGAAAGCCTTCATAATTATTTGTTTCATATTTTATAAATATTAATTTACTTAATTTAAACCTATAAGATGTTAGGAGGTCTTTATGGTTTGAATTTTAAGTAGCATTCCTATCTTTTTTTATGTTTACTAATACCTACAATCATTACAGGATTAGGGCTATTTTATATAGATGAAGCATTGACTACTTTGTGTATTTTATAGTTTTTCTATGTTGTGATACCTGCTATTTATATAAAATTTTTAAGCAAAGAAGGGGAATTAAAGGGTATTTTGAATAATAAAATATAGCATATCTCATCAATGAATTGGAGGGAAGATAAGAATAAATCAAAAGAGGGCTTTCACTATTTAGAAGTGCATTTGGGATGGTTCTATTATCGTTAATTTTCACATATTATTGGGAAGAAGAGATTATGGATTATTTGAAGATTCCTCTTTTAGAACATCCTGTTTATATTGGAGCATTTATGTTGGTATTGATAATATGTAATCCATTTTTGGAGGAATGGTATTGGTAATAAATTACAATTAATAAAAGGCGGTTGTTCTTGATGAAAACTTATAAGGAAAGTGAGAACTATAGATCCTTAATTAATCTATTTTATGCTTTGTTTCATTTCATAATGTTATTGAAGATATTTAAATCAGATTGGGAATTTGCTATAGGATTTTCAACATATTTTATGTCAATAGGTGGATCTTTTGAGCATATTCGAGAAAAGTATGGATTCATAACTTGTCTGATGGCTCACTATGGGATGACCCTAGCTGCATCGCTAGCTTTATTAGTTGTATATAAATCATAATTGTAATGATAATTAATTAATAATGGAATCGAAAGAAAAAATCCTCTCTTGCTTGAACATCCTGAAAAGGTTGCCTCCAACTCAGATGTAGAAGAATGCAGCAGCATTAGCATCTTTGATTCCTGATTATGCTGAAGAATTATACTAGAAAATAGATAAACCATTAGGTATGAAAATGATGAAAATTTTTAGATATTGGATAGGATGAAAAAGGAAATCAATTTATATAATCTGAATTCAATAGAGATGGAGACTCATTTAGATCTCATGTAACAAATTAATATTATCCTCCAATTGATGATGCAGTTTATCCTTCTGAAGCATTACGTAAATTAGAAATCAAAGCCAATGCTGTCTTTGATGAATATAAAAGATTGTACTTATATATTATATGAAAAGATATTATGAAGGAGGATTGTCATCTTGTTATTTTTGGGATAAGGAAGATGGAGGGTTTGCTACAGCTTGGTTGATAAGGAAAAATGTAGAAAAAAGTAAGGGAATTGAGGATGGATCTTGGAGTTCAATTAATGTAATAGATATTAAGACAGATGGAAAATCTAAATGGACTTATAAGATAACTACATCAGTTGTTTTAGAAATGAATATTGTTTAAAATCAGGATGTTGGCAAATTCAATATAACAGGCACATTAACCAAATAAGTATTCATTACAATAGATTTTTTTAGAAAGAAGAATCTTATGAAGCTCCTGCAGGTAATAAAGATTTAGAATTGTTTCACATAATGAAAATTGGAACTTTAGTGGAAGATGTAGAAAGTTATCTCCGTTCTCAATTGGATAGTGTTTATTTTGGCAAAACCAAAGATGTAATTTCTTTTTTTAAATCCTTTTATAGATAGTATTCTAAACACGCTTTATAGAAGGAGAAAAGAATTTCATTAAATAAAGATAGGGATTGGCAGGCGAATTTAAATAGAAATATGGATGATATAATTGAATTCAATAATGAATTTTATTAAAAATAATATAAAACCATTTCTATTGACATCTGGAATATTTGGTATTAGTGGCTATGGCTACTTGTATTATACAGCATATTAAAACAAAAAGGAATTATAAATCAAAAAAGAAAATGAAGTAGAATTCAAAGACAATACTCGACCTTAAAATTAATACTTTGGTTTAAGTTATGGTTTCAGAGCAGATTAAATAGTATTGGATAGATTAGACTCTGGTGATTTAGTGTTTATGAAATTTGAATGCATGGAATGTATTTCAGTAAGTGATATAATTAAATGTGAATATTCTTAATTCACTAAACCATATCCTCATTATGATTCCCTTGGAATAATATTTAGAGATAATAGAAATGTTTATGTACTCTACAATAGATTTGGTGATATTGTAATTGAAGATTATGCTGAATTTCTATAAAATCCATTCTGGAATGAAATTACAATCAGAAAGATAATTACAAAACATGAAATTCACAAAACTCTTAAGCCTCTCTTCTATAATGAAGATTATAAATAATTATTTGCCAATAAACCCTACATTCCTATAGTACTCAAATCAACAGGATTAATAGATTAGAAATATCAAGATAATTTAGATCAAGTGTATATTGAGGATTTAGATGTTGATGAATTCCCTTATTTTATTAATGGCACTTCCTTAGGACCAAAAATAAATGTTAGAACAAAAAGAAACAAAGACTTAGATGCTAAGTGAAACATTATATATATATATATATAAATATATAAAAAAAATATGAAATCAAAACAATTCAGCTATAAAACTTAATTCTCCTTAAACACTATCTCTTTATGAATTTACTGAATTTCTTGATTTTATTTCTTCTGTATTTTGACTAGTATCTAAAGATTATTAATTTTTTAATTCCAATTCAACTGATACAGATTTTGAATTTCTTTTACAACAATATCTAGCACATTAATCCCTTACTTAAGGAGTGAATCCATAACCAAGATAATTAAAAAATCCCATTAATCCAGATAATGCCTTTGATAAGTATAATAACCATATTTATTATTAATCTTAAATTTCTTCATAAGTTTTATTGAATGCTGTAAATATCCAACATATTATTAATATCAATGGATAGGATATCATTTTATATATAAATTTAGTTTATTATTGTGATATTCCATATAATTTACAGATAATGAATATGTATACACTTGAATTGTAAAGGATGATCAAAATTAATGGAATATAGAAATTAATATATCTAACAATAGTGCTTCTGACAGGATGCTTAATCTAAAAGTTGCAAATAATAAATTACATCTTCTTTGATCCAACAACTAATACCAGCAAATCCATAATCATGTGTAAAAAATGGATAGATTGAAATAGAAAATGGAATACAAAATCCAATAAATAGATATCCACAAATATTGAATGATTATTCATTTTTATTTTTGATACATGATTGATATAATATGAATGCTATGATGGCAGTCCATCTTTATATATTTTGACTCTGTACATTATTGATGATAATTAGGATGCATTAATCAAATACGATTAAATTAGGCATAATATAGGGTCATCATTATTGAAATCTTTTTTCACTAATAACATGTTTGACAATGCCAAAATTAGATCAGATACATTAAGATAGAATACTATTCGAAATGCAAATGTTTGCAGTTCTTTAAATCTATTAATTTAACAATCCATACTTGAAATAAGTCAGTATCATCAAAGTTGCACCTACAGCACTAAGAGTGTTAGTAATTAGAATGATTCTAATTAGAACTTCTTCAATTTGATTGATAGTATTCTCATCCTATGTCATTGAAATAATTAATAAAAATAGATAAAAGGTGTTAGAGAATATATATAATACGTTTTTTAAAATATGCAAAATAACTAATCAAGGATCTAAGTAGCATTTTTTATTTTTGCATTCCTTATTAACTCCTGCACATAGTTTTTAACATCTTTCCTAAGTTACTAACGATTATCGCAACTAAGTTTATGCACATGAGTATATGCATCCATTCACTTATTTATCACATTTAGCCTAGCATTCTGTCACCTTGGTTACAACACCTTTTGCTATTATATTTTTTTATACCAAAAGCTCCTTGTGCAAGTAACACTAAAAATATGAAAATTAACTTTATATTCATTTTATTTATTATTTATTTAAGTCCTAAAATGACCTCAAATATTAACATCTTATTTGATAAACCGAAGCTTACTTTAACAGCTTTGGATACTGTAGAATAATACGATTTTGACATTATTGTAGATAAAGTATCAGAATAGCTCAAATATGTGTCTTAAAGATTAATTGAAGGTTAATAGGAATCAGATCTTCCATATGATAAAGAAAATATTATTTTGCCTAGATAACAAACATATATTTAGAAAGTAAAGGATAGTAAATTTGCTAAAAAGAAGAAAAAGTATATTGTCCATAATTTAAATTTTATAGTCGAATGGTTTGGGATGAAAATAAAAAGGATTGGGCTTTGAGGAAATTGAAAAAAAGAGATTCAGTAATACCACCTATCATAGAAGCTACAAAGCAAGATGCTTATGAAGTAAAAAACTAAATTAATAGTAGGATGTCTTTAGAAAAAAGGAAATGGAACATGAACTTAAGAAATCAAAGAAATAATTAAGATTAGTGCAAAGAGATAAAAAGAAATAGAAGAAAATATAAGCCGTTAAGAAATAACTCTGATTGTTTAAAATATATGCAAACACTCAAATTAATCATTTTAGCATAATTTCATAGAATAAATAAGTATAAAAAATATAATAGTTTTCTTCAATATATTTATTTTTAAGAATTAGTTTGCAAAATTATAGTGAATTAATTAATATAAATATTTATTATTACTCATAAATACAATAAAGAATTATATAAATGGTAGTTATCATTTCTTCTAATTATATTAATACTTGTGATTTGATATTTTAAATTTATGATAAGTCGTTTCATATTAATTATAATTATAATTTCTTTATGTTTAGTGTTTTAGGAACCTTTTTTTGTTTGCTATGTGGATCTCGCAAGGAACGAAAACTATTATTGTTAACAATACAAGACTAAAATCACAATATGTATTATATTAAAGCTAAACCCAATATGAAAATAGAAGAGATAAAATCAAAATGTGGTATTGAATCAGAGAGATCTTCTTTATTTCTTGAAAAAACATTATTAGAAGATGATGCAAAGTTAAAAGAATATGAGATAACTTCAGATACTCATTTAACATTACTTTTACATGAAGAAATAGAATAATGAGATCAGTTAATTTCATTGTTTCATTATCATTTATTAATATTTTTATTATGATTAAAAATAATAACAACAATGCTCTTAGATCACAAACACCATTTATGAGTGAAAATCATCCATTAAATCCTTATGGTAATAACTTTATAGATCATCCATATGAATCAAAAATATTTTATAAATTTAATTCTGTGAAATAATATGTTCATTTAGAAGAAGATGATTAATTTAGAATTTCTAAATATTCTGCATATTTTGCTTTTGGTTTAGGAGGGACATTAATAGGAACAATTAGTGGATTTCATTTGCTTTTAAAATATGTTTTTAAACCATATTACACTACAACATTTGAACATTTCAATCATTATAAACATTTATATTTAGGATTGTTGGTTGCTTCAAGTGTTACATTTATGTATACATATTTGACAACTTTATACATAAACAATGTTTCAAGACCATTGCTATACAAATATTTAGATGAAGCTAAAAAGAATGGTTTCTAAGATTATGAGATTAGTTTCAAACAATAATGATAGAGTATCTATATATATAAATGTTTATAATTGAATTCATAAAATTAATAATATTAAACAATTATAGATGATAAATTTAGAAAATAACTAATATATCTTGATTTTCTTATATATAATTATGAATACTATGAATATATTTATATTTTATTTTCTGAATCTATTATATAAAAATATTGAATTTTATAAAATTACAGTTCTGAAAAGAGATTTAAAATTTGAATTATTAAATGGATATTAAATTTCAATTAAATTCATTTAATTAATGGGCATATGTAATTCTAAAAATACAAAATAATCTTAAACCTATTCAAAATAATCAACTACATTAAGTACAATTCCAATCATTAAAAAAAAAACAAATAATAAAAAATACAAAAAAATTACATTTTGTGATATCGAGATTTAATTAAAACAAGTAATGTGTGATACAAAGAGTCTTTCCCCTCCACCAAAACTTTGCTATTATAGTAGCAATAGAAGTTTCAATAAAGATATTTTATTTGGATAATTGAGAGTACCTAATGAAAGGTTTAATTAAGTTGCATAAACACTATAAAGCAAATAAACGCTTTTTGGGAAAACACTTAGATTTTCAAATTCTTCAAAAAGAGGATAAAGAATGTGATTTATGAATATACCATTAAATAAAAGATATTTTACATTTAATGATATCACAATAACTATATTTTAATCCTTACTTAACATATTTACATTAGAGAAGCAAATAAATACTAAGTTCTTTATTCATTTAATGACTTTTGATTTTAAAGACAGGAATTATATGACATCATTTTAAATATTATTATGTAATAATACAAAAGCAGAAAATCTTTATATAAATGAAAAATAATAATTAAATATTTATATAAGTTTAATTATCTTCAATAATATACTATGATCAAGAAAGATTTGTCAATTAATCAACAATCACAATTTTTTATCGTTTAATTGGTTCAGTCTCCTATAGACTATATTATAATCCTTCATTATTTGACCCTCTTAATCTAACTTGATTTGATATTAATTTTTAATAATTAGATTAGGTTTAATCTTATTCATATTAATTATCTTATTACTAAAAATATATAAATAATAACTATACTTTTGTCGATTTGATCTTTTTTTTTTTCTTCTTCTTTTCCTTTTTATTATCATCTACCAAAACCTTATTTAACGAATCATGTAGATTTTGCATTGCATGTTAACTTTCAATTCTTTGACAAACTTTTTAACTCATCTCATACCAATTAGTTGTAAAAGTTAAAATGATGTATAAAACAGCCAAAAGTGCATTAACTAAACTAAAAGATAGCCATATGCCATAAACTTTTAAACCTAAACCAAAATCACAAGCAAAATATAAAAATAATGGTATTCCTATTAAATAGTATACTAAAAGAGTAGAATATGTTACAAAATCTTTTCTATCAATTCCTTTTAGAATTCCAGTCAAAGTTCCTTGCAAACCATCAATAACAAAAAAGCCAAATACAAAAATAGGATATACTTCTAATAAAATATCATTGATTTCTTATCTTCCAGCTGAATAAAAATTAACCCATTAATCTTTAATAAATGATAGAGTAACCATAAATATAGAAGTGAATCCAACAAATAAAATTACACCAACCAATGAATAACTCTTTGCTCTTTTTAGATTTTAAGAACCCATTTCATTACCTACAAAAGTCATCAAAGCTAATGATAATGACATAGGAAATCTATAATAAAATGTTGAAGTATTTGATAAAGCCATTTATGCATATAATTCATCAGATCCAAATCCAACAGCAATAAAACTTAGAAGAAAAAATACAAAAAAATCAGCATATATATGTGCAATTATAGGAAATGATTCTTTTAAAAAGCTTTTAAATATATTCTTCTATCTCTTTAATGAAAATTTAAATCTGTAATTTGAGAATACTTTTTTTCGATATTTAGTACAAATTATTACTAAGATACAAAGTATTAAATTAAGAGCTTCTGTACATATAATAGCTAAACCTGCTCCTGGTACTCCTCCACCAATATTTAGATATTCAATAAATAATTCACACCATAAAATATGTATCATTGCTGTGAATAGTTGTATGTACATAAAAACAGCAAAGATCTAATTTAAAAAAAAATCATATACTTTATTTGAGATCAAGAAACTTTTGATACATTCATATAGGATAGCAAAGAGAGTTGAAGGAAGCAAATAATATAGATAAAGCTAAGAGGCATCAGAAGTTGCTTCTCTATCTCTTTCATTAATTGTTAATGCTATTATAGGTTTAATCAAGATTAGAATAACTATGAAAAAATTGATTAGGACATACCTGAGAATGGAATAAAGTATAGTAAATGTATGAGTATAGTTAATGTAAAATATGTTTAAGCCAATTTAGGTTTGTTTGCTCCTAAAGCTTGAGCAGAATGTACATTCAATGATTAATTGGTTCCTATTTCATATTTAAAGAAGTATTACCAAAAGCCATTGGAATTAACAATACATTTACTATTGTATAAGCAAATCCTAATCCAGCTACAGAACTAGGATCATTATGTTGTGCAATGTAATGTAAACTGATACCAAATACTACATCTAGACAAACATATCCAATGACAGTATAAAATGTTGAGAACAATAAATCTGTAAACACATTGGATGTATTTCTATTGGGAGCTTGATTTGGATTATCTTTGCTTAGAATAGAAGATCCATGAGGTTAGCTCATTTTTAATTAAAATCTAATCCAAAAGCTTAATAATAAATAAAATTTTAAACTTTAATGTTGGAAAACTTGAAATAACAAAAAAATAACTAAACTTCAAGTAAATAGTCTCCTAAAAAAATAATAAATGATTTCGAATATCATTTAGAAGATTGTCTAGGGAAAGGAGAATATAGTTCTGTATTTAAAGGACGGGATAGAAGATCTGGATAAGAAGTAGCAATTAAAGTAAATAAGATTATGACTATATGTTTAGGTTATAGAGAATTCTAGATTGAATTCAAATTTTTCAAAACAGATGTTGAGTAATGAAATTGAATCATTAAAGAAACTCCATTCACCTTACATTTTATAGTATATCAATTATATATACACTCCAAATAATCAATATATCATAACTGAATATTGTAATGAAGGAGAATTGAGATTTGTAAAGAATCGATCAGATTAATAATTGTTAAGGATTTTCCATTAATTACTGTAGGCATTGAAGGAACTCAAATCTAAGAGTAATTATGATATAAAATAAATAGATATAATACATAGAGACATCAAACCTCCAAATATTATGATGCAAAAAAGCATACCTAAACTAGCTGATTTTGGTTTTAGTGTTAATATTAATTTTTTGGAGTTATAAAAATCATCATTTGGTACACCACTCTATATGGCACCAGAATCTTTACTAAATGATACTTATAGCTTTTAGTCTGATGTATGGTCTGTTGGAATTACAATGTATGAACTCATTTATGGTAATGTTCCCTTTTATCATGGCAAAGAATCTGAATTAAAGAAAATAATACAAAATTATGTCAATAATCCTATCTTAATAATGCCATAATCAATATTTGTTTCATTACTTAAAGGAATGTTAGATCCAAATCCTAATACTAGATTCACTGTAGAATAATTATTATCTATGATTTCAACTGAATAAAATACATAAATTAGTACATAATAAGGATTCAACTTTTTAAACAATTTTGCATAAAAATTATAACATTTTGAAACTAAAGTAGATGATATATGTCTTCGATGGGCAATTTTGAAGATATTATCATCATAATTTTAAATGAATTCAATTACTCAAAATTAAATCAATCAATAGATTAATTAGATTCATAATTCTACTAATTTTTATATGATTAGAGAATAAAAGATGATTGATCTAATAAATTCAAAATCAGATACATGTATTTCATTTAAATTATTTATTTAGAATTTGTTTAATTTCTTCGTTAAATTTTGTAATAAAAAGTTCATTGTTAACAATATAAACCTATTTTATAGGATATACTTCAATGCGATGCTATATTATTTCACTTATTTAAATGAAATAGATAATTTTATATATAATACCTATTTCATTATTATATTTTTAATATTTATTTATTCCATTCTTATAGCTAAATTATCTATTCTTTTATCATAATTTATTGTAATGGATATATTTGATAGAATTTATGATACATATATCAAATTATACATAAAATAATAAACAAGAAAAATATCATATACAATATATATCAATTTTTTAGGGTATATTTAAATCTAAGATAACCAGTTAATTAGTAATTTAAAATGGGCACTTTTAAGTTGATATTGTCTTCTGGTATAAGACCACTTTCAAATTTTTCAACATTATTTAATGGGGAAGGTTAAGATTCATCTTCTTCATGGATTATCTGTGGGGATAGCAATGAAATTTTAGGATTTGAAATAATAGATATTTAACTAGATGAACCTTTGAATTATGATGTGTCTTAAAACTTTTAGTGATTTAAAATATTTAAATCAGATTTAGATTTAATAGTTTTAGTTGATTCTGCGATATTGCTATCAATCTTATTGATAGGTTTTGTTTTTGAAGTTTATTTTAAGTTTGATTTTTTAACTTGATTTGAGTCAGGAGATAGTAAATTGCTGTTTTATTAAATACTGACTTTAGATTGTGATGTGACATTTGATCTATTGGTCTTGTCATCTGTCAATTAGGTTTTGCAAATTTATTCTTTCTTTTAAGGAGGATTGGATTTGGCTGTCTATATAACTTGAGGCTTAGGTTTATTGTCTTAAGGATTTTTGGTTTCAATTACACCACATTTATATTACTCTAGAGAAGAGAGTATTGAGGGTTAGTGTCTGTGTATGGATGCATTAAATAGAATCTGAGTTTAAATAGAATGAGCATACATTTTCTAAGTCTTTACCCTTGAAAGTTTAGAGAGAGAACCTTCCTCCAGGATGATCATCTACAAAATGTGTTAGATCATAGACATTGTTACGATATGCAAACAGAAATCTTATTCAAAACGGGATACTACCTATCAGATCTGGCACTCTCTTGTTGCATCTAGGCTAATGAAGAGTACTTTTTTAACATATAATATAAATTTAATAATAATCCTTTTGATTTAGCTTTTTTTGTGATATATTTGATAAATTTTAATAAACTAGTTTTTGTGTTATGTAATAATAATAATTATACATATTATTTAATAATGAATGACTTATATGGAAGAAGTGCAAGCATTATGGAATCTTAATAGAAATTAGAATTATTCATAAGTTGTCGTGGATTAGCTAACATGGATACCTTTTCAAAAAGTGATCCTTATGTGATAATGTATGTGAAAAGAAATAACTAATGGTCAGAAGTAGGAAGAACAGAAATAATTTAAGATAACTTAAATCCAAACTTTGCAAAGACATTTATAATAGAATATTACTTTGAATGTTAATAGCCATTGAAATTTATCTGTAATGATGATGATGGAAATGGATAATTTGATGTACAATTTAAATGAAAATATTTAGTTTATTGGAAGTGTTGAAACTACATTAGCAAATATTGCAGGAGCTAGAGATTAATTATTAATGTTAAATCTAAGTAATGGTAATAAGAAAACAGGAGTATTAATTATAAGAGCAGATTAGGTTAGAATGATAAATGATAAAATAATCATGTAAATAAGTAAATTCTAATTATTATATTTTTTAGGTGCTGATAATCTACCTAATACAAGGTTTTTACCTTGGCATTGTACATCACCCTTTTATAGACTATATAGAACAAGAAAGGATACAAATTAATAATTATTAGTTTATGAAAGTGAACCTATGAAAAGTACTTTAAAACCTATATGGAAAAGATTGGATATATAATCTTAGAAATTATGTAATGGAGATTACTATATGCCTATAAAAGTTGAAATATGGGATTATAGAACTTCAGGAAGTCATGAACATATTTGTTCTACTGAATTTTCAGTAGATGAATTAAAAGGAAAGAATATGGTCAAAAAAATATTATTTGATAAAAATAAAAAATAATCTGGTTCTATTTGTTTCAATGAAGTAATCTAAATCTAATTATATTTTAGTTTAAATTAATTGAAAAACCTAGTTTCTTAGATTATTTATAGAGTGGAACATAAATAAATTTAATTTCTGCTATAGATTTTACAGCATCTAATTAATCTCCAAAAAATCCAAGTTCTCTTCATTATATTGATGATTAATATCATAAAATGAATTAATATCAATAAGCATTATTAGCTGTAGGAGAAATCTTATTAAATTATGATCATGATAAAAAAGTACCTATATTTGGATTTGGTTGTAAACCAAGACTCCATAATTTAAATACCCCTTAAACTTTACATTGTTTCCCATTAAATGGTAATCCTCAAGATCCAGAAGTATTCTAAATGGATGGAATTATGCAAGCTTATAATTATGCAGTAAGGAATGTCTAATTTGATGGTCCTACTTATTTTAATCCAATTATTTAAGAATCAATGAGAATAGCTTAAACTTGTAAGGATATGAATACTAATACATATTTTGTATTATTTATTTTAACAGATGGAGAAATTCATGATATGAAAGTATTATATATTTCTATTTTATAGTAAACAATTGATTCCATTGTAGCATCCTCTCATTTACCATTATCTATTATAATTGTTGGAGTAGGAGATGCAGATTTTACTAATATGTCAATTTTGGATGATGATGATGGTAATCTACATGATTCTTTTGGAAGGAGAACTCAAAGAGATTTAGTTTAGTTTGTTCCATTTAATTAATTTAAGAATAATCCTGAATTATTAGCCAAAAATGTATTATAAGAATTACCAGATCAATTAGTTGATTATATGCTTTTAATTGGTAAAAAACCTGGACCTAAAAATTGTAATTATTATCAATTATTATTATTTTAGTCATAAATTTAGGATAATTCGATATCAATCAATATTCATAATAGTATGGTTTATAATAATAGGTTATGTAACCTAATTAATAATAATAATCAGTACCTTAAATACCTTAATAATCATTTCCAAATTTACCACCTCCATCTTAATTTTAATAACCTCCACCTCCACCATATACTTAATAAGTATATTAACCTTAATAACCCTCATATTAATCATAATTGCCTTAATATCCTACATAATAATAATCAAGTTATCCATAATAATAATAATAAGTTTACCCTCCTCCTAATTATTAATAGTAATAATAATAAATATATCCTCCTTAATAAGCTGGATTCTAATCTAAATTTATTTAAGGTCTAGCCAATACAAATTTCTTAGGATAACATATAAATGATGCTTAATAATAATAACTTAATTAATAATTGCCTTAATTTTAATATCCCCCTTAAGAACCAGAGAATCCATTAGGTATGCAACCTTAACCAAATTAATATTAATAAGTAAAACAACCTCCTCCTTATGTGCCTGACAACCCTTATGGATTATGATAAAATCATTTTATATCAATCATTATTAATGATATCATTCCAATAATTTCTTTTATTCTTATTTTCAAATGTGTTTTAAATTTAAGATTTATATATTAATTATTTGAATATTTATGATGTTTGGTTTAGTAACTTAAAATTATTTCAATTAATTATTTATAAAAATAGTTAAATAGATTATAAATATAAATTGAATTTTGAATAATTTATATAATATATATAATAATTACATAAAATGACTCAAATTTGTGAACTAGTTCATATTAACAATAACATTTATTTAATTCATTCTTGTATTTTATATATGGTTTTAGCATTTCTTTTATCAAAACGATTACTGAGTCTTAATGTTTAGCTTATCTATTTTAATAATTTCTTATTATTGACTTCATCAAAAAATTAGTTTTCAGTATAAGATGCAACTATTTATTATAGAGTTCCCTTTTGTTCTGGTAGATTTTATAGAATGCTTACTAATTTATTTCTCATTTTATTGTCATCCTCTCCTCTATCTTAATAATTTTCATTTAAATCAAAATAACCCTTTATTTTCCTAATAAATTAACTTCGATTATTAGAAAGAGTAATTGAGATTGATCTTAAACAAGCTGAATCTTCAGATAATTATCCATTAAAGAAATTTTGATTAATAGATTCAATAATTTTTTATTTAGTACCACATCTTCCTTCTAATTATTATAGAGTAATCTTAATCATATCTTCTACAGTATAATCATATTTAGTGCTAATTCTTTAAATTTTTAATTATTCTTTTGAAGGATCATCTTTCATACTCAAACTTCTAATATCACTTAATTGATCTTATACATTTTTTTTTAATTTTTATATTTTTGATTATACAGAATACCAAGTTCTACCTAATTATTTTGATAATTCTTAAATTTATTAATTAGTAATTGGACTATTTTAGTAAGTATTAATAAAATTTAATAAAGTTTTCATTTCTTTATTTGACCAAGTTTTTCTTCCTTTTTTTTCAATTGCTTCATTTACAATACTTAAAGCACTCAATTATTGTTCTTATTAATTTACAGAATGTTATTATTATTAATCAACTAATTATATTGTTTATGGTTAATACTATCCTTTATTAATATCAATTTAATGTTACTTTTATTAATAAATTTATTGAAATTATGTTTTCTATAATTTAAAATCTTATAATGATTATTATTAATTTTCAGTATGCAATTATTAAATAAGACCTTCTTGTTTAAGCAACTCAAAACACCAAGAGCTATCAGCTTTATGAATTAAATTGAATGTCTCTTATATAAATTCAATCCCTAAAGAACAAACAAATGCCATAAATTATTTTACATCTAATCTAAAATTATTTTTTGATTATTATACATACCTTTTTTGTTATCTATACATTTTTAACTTATTAATAGTTCTTATGTATTGATAATAAAATTATTTGAAAACTTAAGGTTGAGATAGAGATTACTCTAAAAACGTAAAATTATCAATATTATTTAATGCATCCTAAAATTAAGTAACTATAATTTGTTTACATTATATTTTTATTATTCTAAGAATTCATTTTATTTCTCAATAACCTAAGAAATTAGTGTATCTATTTCTTCCATAAATGAAGGTAAACTATGAGACATCTTACGTTAAGGTCTCATTCTTGGTTCATGTTGAACATCTTATTACTTTTGAACAAATTAATTCACTTCAGGCTCTACATTAAAAAATTTATGAAGCCTAAAGTTTTTAATTTCTGGCTACTCTATCTATATATGCTGAGGGAAATTTTCATTTTCATCCTCATCTATATCAAATTATCCCAAAGTTACAAAGCAATCAATCTTTTTAAACAAGTGTGAAGGACTTTACAATTCATAATACTCATCTTCCATTTCTATACCTTACCTATTATCCATTTAATTTAATATTAAATTGTTTTTTATGTATACTATTTCATATTACAGCTTTTAAATAGGTGAAATCAATTGTAAATGTAAATGAAGAATATATTAATTTATATAAACATAATAGTATTCCCAATTAATAATATCTTATCATACAAAAACTAATGTTATTTAATATAATCTTGTTACATTTATCCATATCTATTTATAAGAATTTCATTTAACTTTATTAATTTAAATTATTCAAAGTTCCATTATAGTCATCATACTAAGCATTCCTAAATATTTAGAAATTATCTTTTTCTAATAATTATAAATTTAAATTGAATACAAGTAACATTTAAATAAGGAATGAATAGATTAATTTAAAACATAAGAAAAATTGACTTCTTTAGTGTGACTTATTCTCCAGCAATTTCAGATGGATTTAATTATAATCATTCTAGTGTTTTAGGTGGAATGATATCTATTTTCATAGCCATTTTGAGTTTGATGTATGGTATCTATTACATATACATATGGTGGACTTATTAATTATTGCCTAAAGTGACATCTGATTTAAATTAATTCAGTGAGAATGACAATTTTGGTTAACTTATGAATTATATAAATGTTAAACCAGCATATCAATAAGGATGGTCTCCAATTAACCCTTTTAAAAGAGATGAAATTATTCTTTAACCTTTAATTATTGATTTAGATGATATTGAATTCAAATGGAAACCTTTACTCTCTAATTAATAAATAAATGATGTCCTAACAATTAATCTAGAAATGAATTACACTAAACAATATTATATCATATTCACACTTTGTAAAGAGGATTATCTAATTGATCAATAGAAATGTGCATCAGAAGAGGCTAAAAACCTTTACCTTTAATAATATGGAAATTCTCTTTATGTTGAAATTTAATTTACAACCATCAATCCATCTACATTTGAACCTTAAATTTTTGAAAGAACATATCCAATAAATATACATTCCTAAGCAGAAATGTGTTCATCCATTATCCTACACTATTAGATGAATCATTATTTAATAGATAGAGCATTTCTATTCTCAACTGGATAAGAAGAACACAATTTTATATCAAATTCATTAAATTATCCACAATATTCCTTAAAAGATTATTGTGATAAGTAATTTTTACCTAATACATATGGTGCTTTCTTTGTATTATTTTAATAATAATATTATACTGTTTAAATTGCATATCCACCTATTAGTGAAGTATTTGCAGCAATAGGTTCTATAATTAGTATATTATTCTCTGTAAAATTTATTATTACCATATTAAATCTACAGTAATTAAGATAAGATGTTTTAGATGATATTATGACATAATATTATCCAGAAATCAAACAATTTTAAATTATCAAAAACTGGTTTGGCAAAATTACTTAAGTTAAATTTAAAGGTCTTCCAGTAGATATATCTAGTTATTTTCAATTTTAGAAATAAATACATTTTCAAATGGCATGTAAACTCAATTATAAAAATCTTTTATATGAAATGTCTCGATTTCAATTCATACTCTTGTCAATGAAAAGAAGAACTGAAATAGAAAGAGTTCATAATATTGGTATTAAAGTTCCTATTTAATTATCAGAGTCTGGAGATTCTTATACAATTACATAAGGTTAAGTGAATTAATTAAAAACTATTAATTTAAGAAATAATAATTAATCAGAATATAAATATGATATTCTTACTATTAATGATGCATTAATTTTGAGTTATGATTATAAAAATTTTGAATAAAGTATTCTATCATCAACTAAAAGATCTGCTAATGAAAATAATTAAATTGAATAAGATTTTTTTGATATAAATTAAATAGAACCATAATATAATTAAAATGAAGAAGTATGATTTAATATATTCAAATTTAATAATAACAATTTAATAAGTTAAATCTTTAATATATAAATATATAACAATAATATTTTTTTATTCATTACATTTTAGATTTCATAAAATCTTCTAAAACATCTAAATGCTCAGAATAAAACTACTTAATCATTCTTATTATATTTAAATTATTCATATCTTATAATCTCTTTGATGAATATGATGTCTATTTTTATAAATTATATAATATTTACATAAAAATTATCAATGTTCTCTTACAACTCATTAAATTCAATTTATTAATGTTTCAACATTACTTACAATTCATCTTTTTATTTTTATAACTAACCTAATTTCTCTTTTGTAATCTTAGCTATTGGTTCAATAGAAGCAATCTAATTTTTAAATAATAAATTTTAATAACATCTAATTTCCATTATTCATTGTCTTATGTTAAACTTTATTTAACATTTTCAATCAAATCCTTCTTAGATTTTATTGTTTATTATAATGACTTTTATATATCATTAATTAATTCTCTACTTTTTGATACTGCATCATTAATATTTCCATTTGTCTAATTTTATTAAATTTAACCTTGTAATTAAGTAATTAATTATACTTATAAGTAAATTTAAAGGTGAGTCATCAGTGCTTGTAGTTATAAATTCTTTTAAAATTGCTTCAGGATTCTCTTTCAAATGTTATTTCTATCCATTCAATTTTTAAGGGCTAGAAGGAATAAACTCATTGAAACTTTCAAGAAATAAGGCAAGTTCACTGTTTTCTAAATCAAATGCTGTTAACTTANAGTTAAATTTAAAGGTCTTCCAGTAGATATATCTAGTTATTTTCAATTTTAGAAATAAATACATTTTCAAATGGCATGTAAACTCAATTATAAAAATCTTTTATATGAAATGTCTCGATTTCAATTCATACTCTTGTCAATGAAAAGAAGAACTGAAATAGAAAGAGTTCATAATATTGGTATTAAAGTTCCTATTTAATTATCAGAGTCTGGAGATTCTTATACAATTACATAAGGTTAAGTGAATTAATTAAAAACTATTAATTTAAGAAATAATAATTAATCAGAATATAAATATGATATTCTTACTATTAATGATGCATTAATTTTGAGTTATGATTATAAAAATTTTGAATAAAGTATTCTATCATCAACTAAAAGATCTGCTAATGAAAATAATTAAATTGAATAAGATTTTTTTGATATAAATTAAATAGAACCATAATATAATTAAAATGAAGAAGTATGATTTAATATATTCAAATTTAATAATAACAATTTAATAAGTTAAATCTTTAATATATAAATATATAACAATAATATTTTTTTATTCATTACATTTTAGATTTCATAAAATCTTCTAAAACATCTAAATGCTCAGAATAAAACTACTTAATCATTCTTATTATATTTAAATTATTCATATCTTATAATCTCTTTGATGAATATGATGTCTATTTTTATAAATTATATAATATTTACATAAAAATTATCAATGTTCTCTTACAACTCATTAAATTCAATTTATTAATGTTTCAACATTACTTACAATTCATCTTTTTATTTTTATAACTAACCTAATTTCTCTTTTGTAATCTTAGCTATTGGTTCAATAGAAGCAATCTAATTTTTAAATAATAAATTTTAATAACATCTAATTTCCATTATTCATTGTCTTATGTTAAACTTTATTTAACATTTTCAATCAAATCCTTCTTAGATTTTATTGTTTATTATAATGACTTTTATATATCATTAATTAATTCTCTACTTTTTGATACTGCATCATTAATATTTCCATTTGTCTAATTTTATTAAATTTAACCTTGTAATTAAGTAATTAATTATACTTATAAGTAAATTTAAAGGTGAGTCATCAGTGCTTGTAGTTATAAATTCTTTTAAAATTGCTTCAGGATTCTCTTTCAAATGTTATTTCTATCCATTCAATTTTTAAGGGCTAGAAGGAATAAACTCATTGAAACTTTCAAGAAATAAGGCAAGTTCACTGTTTTCTAAATCAAATGCTGTTAACTTATTTATTAATACTACAATTAATACTTCATCTTTAAGTAATTGTTCTAATTGTGGTATTACTTATCCTAATTCTAAAAGTAGATCCACTCTTTGCATTCTGATATCTTCTGATAATTTGGCTTCATTTGATAATAATAATAATTCATCTGCTTGTAATGCTGATGTAAATTTAGTTAACATCATCTAATATTTTAATTCTTATTTTTTTTATGAACCTATGTCAACAGAACCAACTACTTAATAATTATTCTTATTGATAGTTGTTCATATCATCAATTATCTCAGAAACTAATTTATCTTCTTCTTCATTTATATAGACAAGAATTTCATATGGAGCTAAATGATATTTATCATATTATTACATTTTTTCTCGTTCAAATATTATTTCATTTACTTTAAGATAGACATACTATATTCATTATTTTTTACTGTCTCAAGTAAAGCTCCTAATTCTTTAGAAATCACTAATCCAATATAAATAAATAGTAAAATCATTAAATTATTAATTGATGTTTATAATAATGATTCTTAAATCTATATTATATTATAATTAAATGATGTTTTATAATCAATTTTTTACTTTATAAATTAGGTTATCTATTTAATAATATTATCTAATTATATAAAGCTAATAGTATCTACATATTTACAAATAACTAATTTGATATATAATGATAAATAAATATTTATATATAAATAAATAAATTTAATTAATATGGAGGAAAATCCTGTTGTAAGTCAACCAAAAGGCAAAAATTAAATAATAACAACAACAGCAGGAAAATCAAAAGATGAAATGAGAATATTTTTATTTGAATTTTTTGGAATGGCTTTATTTGCATACGGGTATAAATTAATTAAGATTTAGAATCATATGTTCATAAGGTTCTGATGAATTTTTAGCATTGTTTTTCTTTGCATCAGTTTGTTTAGCTGGTCCATTTTCAGGAGCACATGTAAATCCTGCTGTTACATTATCAATGTTATTGTCTAGAAGAATAAACTTTGCTTAAGCAGTGATATATTGGTTGGCTCAATTTTCAGGAGCATTATGTGGAGCTTGCTGTTGCTATTTAATTTTGAATGAAGTAGATAGCCCATAAGTTAAAAGTACTGAATATTCATGGATATTATCTGATATAAGTGGTGAGGCATTTGGAACATTTACATTCATTTTATTCATACTCATTCAAACAGATCCAGAAACCACTTTAACTCCAGGAGGACAACCTATGACTACTTATGTTTTAGTTGCTATAGCATTGTACTTTTCGAGAGAATTTACATTTCATTCAGGAGGTATGACATATATATTAAGAATAGGATGTTTAAATCCAGGTATGGCTGTTTCATTGCAATTATTTTAATCATTTTAAACAGGAGATAGGTAAAGAATGGACTTTTTATGGGTTTATGTTGGAGGTCCATTAGGAGGGGGTTTTGGAGCTAGCGTATTTTTTGAACTTTTTTATAAGAAATAGATAAAAAGACTCTGATATTATAAATAATTTAATGAATAATAATTTAGTAAAATTCATTTGCCCAATTACTAAAGAGATATTAGTACGATAAGGACAATATTATGTTTCAAGTATAGGCATCAAATATCCAATTAAGAATGGTATTCCTTGTTTTACCAAAAGAGATGTAACTAAAGATTGAGACATCAATTTATTAAATGATTATTATAATTCAATAATTATATTTAAATATTTATTCCACTCATTTAAACATTATTGACTGTCTCATATTCTATATTTTATCTTTTTAAATTATTTTAACATTTTTGAATTCCTAATAATTATTGCTGTTATATTTTCTATAATAATTCTTGTAATTAGCAGGTGCATCAAATTATTCCACTCCTGTCTTGATAGTTGGTTGTATTATCTTTTAATATTCAGCCATCACATTATCTCTTTATTATGATTAAGATTGATTAGGATTTTCAACAACTTTTGAACTCAATAAAGCTGATTATTACATAGCAGATTAAGTTAATGTTTGAATAGCAAAGTTTTTCAATTAACCTTATTATTATTTTTAAGGATTATCATTATCAAATGATTAAGTATTAAGATTTTAACTCTCTGTCATTTCATCTAACATTGGATTAGCTGCTTATTCTTCATCTAAACTCTTAAATTCTTTAACTTGCCATTAAGGAATTAATGGTTTATCAATCTTAACTGTATTTTTCTTTAAAGCTCTCTATGTTTTTAGCATAAGATTAGCCTTCTTTTTCAATTTGTTATTACTTAACCCTTTGATTAGAGTTGTTGCATTAGCTCTAGTAGCCCATTATTTTCTATCGAATCTCTATATTTTAACTCTATCCTATTTAAGGTCTAAAACTGTAGATTCTTCAATCAATTCTTGAACTAATGGTACATAATGAGTTTTAGGACATTAATCAGCATAATGATCTGTATTATTACAAGTATAACATTGTTATTCTACTAAGTTATATTCTTTAGTGAATAATAATTTATCTCTTATTTGACAATACATTTCAAAATCTTCAGGAAATTTCTTTAATGTTTCTAAAAAGTCAGCTCTTGTAATTGCATAAACTTATGAATATTCTCTAGCATTCACTGTACCAGTTCTTGGAAAACCTAATATATATTATAATAATAACCTGTAAAGAATGACCATTCTCCGAAATAACTATACAATCCCAATCTTTTTTTAATAATTTCACTATTTCCTGGTTTTACAATAACAGAACCTCCAACAATGTAATAAATGCTTAAATCATCAGTTTAGTCTGTAGATCCTACACCAATAATCTCATCTCCTTAAGAAAATGATTGTTCTCTAATTTTTTAAGCTAATTCTTTTAAAAAAGGTTTAGTGAAATGATTAGCAAACATAGTTTTTTAGAGAAACTATCCTAAAGATTAATACATCAATTCTTATTTTAATTCAGGTGCTAGAATTTCAAATACTTATTGTTCACTTTCCTAATCTCTACTTCCTTCCTCTGCCCAATGTTCATTTATATATTATCTAATACGTTCTCTTAATTCAGAAGGTACATTCTTTTATTCCATAAATTTATTAATAGACACCTTATAATATTAATATTAGAACATTACTTTTTATTTGAATCTTTGCATATAATACGAATTGTATTCTTCCATCATCTTTTAAAAGTTATTAATATTCAATGCAAATACAACAACAGCAAACATAACACCAAAGAGAGCAAAGGAACATTCATATATATTCATAGGAGACTAAAATATAGATTAATAATATATTTACAATATCACCAAAACCCATAGTTGTAGATAGCACATTCAAACTAAAATAGAAAGAATAAAAGTAAATTTCATGAATTGATTTGTCTTTGATGACACCAAAATTACCTGGTACATTTAACCATGTATTAATATGTATATTATCACCATAAATTCCTAACACATACCAAATACAACAATAAAAATTGAAGCAGAAGAACATGAATATTAACATTTTTGTTATTTGATAGAATGTTCTTAATCTTTTATGGAGTAATATCAATTCTGCAATTTGATGATCAATTCTAAGTAAAGAAGGTAATTTGAAATAGAACATAAAGAAGATGAATCTCAGATGATTAGTATCTACTGCTAATCTAATAACACAAGAGAATAACTAGTCTTAATAAATAAATATATACAGCAACGCAATCAAAAACAAAATATCCATAAAAATAATGCATGGCTATCTTTCTTTTATCCAAAACAAGATTTCCATGTTTATAGTATGAGGTTACAAAATCAAGAAGCATGTCTGTTAAAAGTATTATAAAGATTCCATAAAATAAAGTATATCGTCCTGCTGGATTTATAAGTTCCTTTAATTATATACACTTATACCTTCCAAAAATCATCCCCATACATTACATAGATTGGTACTTCGAAAAAAACAAAGAGAGTTGTAATTGCTACAAATATCTTCCAAGGCCAAACTCGTTTAGGTAGAATGACTGGAAGCCAAGATAAGTATTCCTCAAAAAAATTGTTATCATTTTGACCATGTTCATCATTTAAATTATCATCATATATTTTAATAACTCGCTAGATCTTTTCTTATTCTTCTTGCATCACATTCTTTTCATGAAATTATTCAAGTTTCCATTTCACTGTTTTATTTAAAGTGCGGCTTCTTGATCTTTACTCGATAGACATTGAAGAAGCATCAGAAAGAAGGGAATCTTATAAAGAGTATTGTTCTTGCATCTCAAATGAAGTCATGTAATAAATTGATTATTTTATTAATCTTATTTAGCGTCATTTTAATCTAATTTGTATTGAAAGACTAATGATAAATAAATTATGTTTAAGACAAGATATTTAATAACCAACTAATTCACTCATTTCTAAAGATCTTCCTTCTCAAGTCAACCATTCGATTTAGTAGTCATTGGTGGTGGTCCAGGTGGATATGTTGCTGCAATCAAAGCTGCTCAATTGGGCTTAAAGACTGCTTGTGTTGAAAAGAGAGGTACTCTTGGAGGTACTTGCTTGAATGTAGGCTGTATCCCATCTAAAGCTCTTTTAAATATAAGTCATAAATATGAAGATGCTCACAAAAACTTCAAAACTTTAGGAATTAAGGTTGATAATCTTGGAGTTGATTGGGTATAAGTACAGAAGAAGAAAAGTGATATAGTTGGATCCCTTACTAAAGGAATAGAAGGTCTATTTGCTAAAAATAAGGTTTCCTATTATAAGGGATGGGGTAAATTTACATCTAAAAATGAAATCTCCATCGATCTAAATGATGGAAAGAAAGAGACAATAACTACAAAAAATACACTTATTGCTACAGGCAGTGAACCCACTCCTTTCCCAGGTTTAGATTTTGATGAGAAAATAATCATATCAAGTACTGGAGCATTGTCTCTTCAATAAATTCCTAAAAAAATGATAGTTATTGGAGGAGGTGTTATTGGTGTTGAAATGGCCTCTGTTTATTAAAGATTAGGAACAGAAGTTACAGTAGTTGAATATTTAGATAATATTTGTGGAGCTATCGATCTTGAAATATCGAAAGCATTTTAAAAAATATTAACCAAATAAGGAATCAAATTCTTAATTGGACATAAAGTTTTAGGTGGAAAAAATCTTGGTAATGCTGCTGAAGTCACTATTGAACCAGTAAAAGGAGGTGATAAGATTACATTAACTGCAGATCATGTCTTAGTAAGTACAGGTAGACGTCCATATACTTAAGGATTAAATGCTGAAGTATTAATTACACATAATTTAGTCTATTGGTGTGAAGTTAGATAATAGAGGAAGAATTTAAATTGGACATAATTTTACTACAGGAGTTGACGGTGTTTATGCTATTGGTGATGTTGTTGAAGGTCCTATGCTTGCACATAAGGCAGAAGAAGAAGGAATTGCTGTTGCTGAAATCTTGTCTGGAAAAGTTGGACATGTTAATTATGATGCCATTCCAGGAGTCATCTATACCAGTCCAGAAGTAGCCACTGTTGGAAAAACAGAAGAAGAATTAAAAAAAGCTGGAGTTTAATATGCTAAAGGATCTTTCCCATTCTTAGCCAATTCTAGAGCAAAGGCCAATGACGATATTGAAGGTTTCATTAAGGTTTTGACAGACAAAAAGACAGACAAATTATTGGGAGTTCATATTGTGGTATTTCTTTTGCTTTATAAAATAGGGTCCTAATGCTGGAGAAATGATTGCTGAAGCTGTTCTTGGTATTGAATATGGTGCTGCATCTGAAGATCTTGCAAGAACTTGCCATGCTCATCCAACCTTAAGCGAAGCTTTGAAGGAAGCCTGCATGAGTGCTCATTTCAAACCAATCCATATGTGAAGAATGAGCAATTGATAATAAATAGTATAAATATAATTCAATAAATTTCTATTTAATAGCTCATTTCTTTTTCTTTTAAGTTATTGCCTATTTGGCTTTAGTCTCACAAAATGCTATATGCTTTTTGGCTGTTTCTGAATTGAACTTTCTGTTGCAGAATTTACATTAAACTAAATCTTAAGTAGCATCCATAGCATTCTTTAATGATGCTTATTCCTCCTTTGTTAACTACTCTCCTTTTCCTTATTTAATGATTGCTCTAAAAGCTTCACTTTAGGCCTTCCATTTAGGTTTATCATTCTTAGATTCTTTTTGTTTTTAACCCTATTTTTATTGTTATTGTTATTATTATTATTGTTTCTTTTATGGAGGAGGAGGAGGTCTATATCCCTCTTCTTCTTCTTCTAACTATCTTTATTATTAAGAATCAAACACTTTTCTCTTTTATTAGAATACTTTTTAGCAAATCTAAAGTTTATAATAATTTATACTTTTGCATGTTTTTCCAAAGCTTTCTTATTAAAAGATCTTCCACAACCTTCAGGACATTCGAACAATCTTTCATCTTCTGCTTATTCCATAGGAGGCATTTAACTTTTTTATTATTATGGTTATTGAATTTATTGCTATGGTTATTGTATTTGTTATTAATATTATGGCTATTATTATTATTTTGGTTTTATTGGTTAATCCTATATATATTATTATGGTTATTACTATTAGTATTAAGGATATTATTATTATTATTATCTTTATTATTATTATTATTATTATTATTATTATTGTTATTACTATTATCCTCGATTATCTTATTAACTATTCATTGTTTATTTGATATTTTGTTATTTGTTTTAAACTGGTTGCTACTAATACTCTTAATATTATTAATATGATGATTATTAAGAATTTTAGAATTACACTTATTATGGAGTTTATGGCATTGTTCTTTATTATTACTAAGATTATTAATATTATTAGTATTATCTTTACTATGATTGTTATTGATCTTGATTTTTTTATTACCTTTAGAACTATTCTTATTGAGATTTCTATTCTTCAAATTAAGGTTATTTAAATTATGCTTAAGATTTTGCTGTATAAGATTATTATGGTTAGGGTTATTATTATTATTATTGATTTTATAACACTTATTGCCTCTAGGTTTAAGTATTTTACAGGGATAATCGAGTCTATTGTTACTATTAAGAAGGAGTTTATTATTTATTATTAACCACATTTTATTATTATTGATTAGCGGTTTATTAAATATTCGGTTAAGCTTTAAAGTACTGTTGAGATTGTGTTGGCTGTGTAGTACTGGCTTACTTTGCATTTTGAAATTGCTTATTCTGATTTATTGATAACTAAGAATCAAGGGAAGGTTTGTTGGTTGGAAGTGGTCTATCATCAAATTATCGTTAATCTTATATTCTTATCATTTCATTTGGATTTTGTAATTATTATGTTGGTTATGGTGACTTTCCTTTCTATAATAATTTTGGTATTGGTCTTTCATCTATTTCTGATACAATTGGTTTATTTTCAGCAGTAGGTCTTTCAAATGTTGTTCTTTATGGAGATCTGCCAACTGTTTTTTTAGTCTAATCTTCTTGAGTTCGAACAGGAGCATTTGATAAATTTTGAAGTGGTTTAGCGGTACCTGGACGCTCATTTACAACTGGTTTAAGGTTTGACAAGGTTGTACTCATCTAAGGTTTAAGTTGTTTACTAAATGCTTCATAAAGACTCTAAGAATGAAATCAATGCATACTTATTTGGGTTATTTAGACATTCTTTGTTGACTGTTTGAAAATTTAAAATATATTATTTCGTTAATAAATTAAAACTATAATCAATATACTTATGTATATTTATAATGATTTTTGGATCTTCAAAGAGAAAAACAATATGATCTAATCAATATTGATATACTTAGAAATTAAATAATCTTTCATCAAAATAAGAGTTTGTGTGAAACAATTTTCTCTATGAAATTAATGTATTTTTTTAGTAATTATTAATTTTTGTAAATCTTTTTAAGTCATTTAAGAAATTTGGGAATTATCGATATAAAATAATGATATCTTTTCTAGAGTTTATTTTTACATATAAATGTTTTACAAGTAATATATAAATTAACAAACTTATTGTTTTTATTATAATTATTTCCATAATTTTTATTAGTAATTACAAATAGGATTCAATACAAATTAAATATAGAGTATATTTAATATTTTAGATTAATATATAATTCAAAATATGAATTCAAAATTGTATTCTTTTTTCACTTGTTTTATTTGGTATCTTTTAATAATAGTTATGTAAATTCTTAAAAAGAAACTTCACCATCTCCGTTAGTGTCTAATTCCAAGAACACACTTTCCCATTATTTATCCTCCAAGTCTAATCCACCTAATATTTCCTTTAATTCTTATTTAGTTATAATTCCATTTCCATCTTTATCAAATAATTTAAATGCTGTTTCCAATTTCTCTTTAGCCATTAGGTTTTACATTTCTGTATAACCTATGATAAATTCTAAAATTATTATTTTTTAAAATTACCAGTATAATCAATCGTTCCTGAATGATCAAGATCAGCTGATCGAAATATTTTATCAACAATTTATGAACATTTTATTTCATCTTAATATAAATTCATATAACCTAAGATTAAAGAATTCATTTACATGAAATAAGTTCCTCTTTACTTAACTTTCCATCACCATTTTTATCAATTGCTTTGAATCCTTCGATTAATTCTTTTTTTTCTTTTGAATTCATAATTTATGTTGAGATTAATTATAAGATTGCAGAACTAAGTTTACTTTTATTCTGAGAATAAATAACAAATAAAATTTACATGAAAAGATTCAAGATTTTAAAGATTTCTAGGATTGATTTTTTCAATTTTTTAGTTGTTAACTATCCATGGATCTTTCAATCCAAATTCAGCTGAAATTCTTTTCGTCGGATCTACTGTTAGCATTTTCAAGATGAAACTTTTTGCTTCCTCTGATACATCCTTCCATTCTGTTCCTAATAAATAATAAAATATAATTATCTACCATTAAAATCCACTTATCCTTATTTAATGTTTTTATATAAATCATTAAGATTGTTTCCATTAAAAGGAGGTTTGCCTGACATAAGAGTATAAAGAATGACTCCACATGACCAAATATCACATTTATTGTTATAATTTTGATCAATAACTTCTGGAGCAATAAAATATGGAGTTCCTATTTTTTATTTTAATTAGGAATTTTGTTCTAACTATTTTGCAGTTCCAAAATCAATAATCTTAAGACAGTCATCTGAAGTCTTGGAATCAAATAATATATTTTCTGGTTTTAAATCTCTTGATATTGATTCATTTATTACCTATGAACAATATTTCTTTAAT